ACATCACAATTTGGAGTGAAAATCTTTTATTTGAATTTAGTTAACTCAAACACGTGTTTCTGTCCTACAATTTCTATGAAATAGAATTCAGAGGATGGGATGGAAATCTGTAGTTTGCGCTTCTAGTATGTGTGCATAGGCGTTCACTGAAGTTCTGCTCTTTGGTGGTCAACTTTCTCTCCTTCCTTTCTTGATATTCAATCTAATCGTTTAGTGGAGTGAGAATGGCGTTGTAGCGTTAAACGGATGCATGCAAGGAGTGAGAGAATATTCAATGAGGACTCAGTTTGTAGGCCATGATCATGAATGCTGTATTGTGCTCCATCTGCGCAATAATTATTCCTCACATTATGTAGTACGCACGATGACGACAAATTTGACTTCCGGTACAGGTACGAGGTATTTGTTTTCCCATCGAACTAGAAGTAGGCTTTACACGATGAAATGTTGAAAATTTGATTGAGTCTAATCTATTGGCATTCTTAATGTTCTAGACATGTGCTTCCACGAACTTGCAAAGCAGATAGACAGTGTTCTCGTTTCAGAGTTCAGAATCATAAGAACTGCCAAGAAACAGAACCCTGATTGGGCTCTTGTTGAAAGTTGTCAAATTTGTGATTTAATCTTAGCAATTCACATTTTGAAATTTACTTTCTATTGTTCTCTGTTATTGTGGACAATTTGGAACATGCATAGTCATAACATAAATACCAGTAGAAAAAATCAATTTTATTTGCATTCATGTCAAAGGCAGAGACGCGATTAATTGAGTATCCCTGAGGCATTTCATGGGACAGGTAAAGCCGAACGGGTGTACTTTTACTAATTATGAGCATGAAGATCAGATATAGCGATTTGTTTCTATAATTCCGAAAATTTCAATTGAAAACCTATAATGGTAATGGGTTGTTTTATACATATGGACGTAGGTAAATCTAGAGCATTCAGATATATGTTCTTTATATTGTAGAAACTTGACGCTGCTAAATTTTCCTGTGAATTCGTTTTGGTTTCAACAAAAACCGAAATTTCTTCTTGATTTGATTGAAAAATAATTACTTTACCAAACTAGAAAAACTAAATTCTTCGCGCCGAGCATAGTGATGTGACAAACACTGCTATCTTTGAATAAATAGTCGATGAGCGAAGTTCTGGTTGTGTATACCGTGGCTGATTGAGATCTTACCTTGTTCCGATGTAAGAAAATTGTGGATTTATGTTTCGCACATGCATCGACTTTCGAGACGAGTTATATCTCAAGTTTCTTATACATGCATAAGTTTCGAGGTCGGGGATTCGGTCCACAAAAACCATCGAAGCTCTTTCACCGCAGTACAAGAAAAAATTTCATTCAGTCATAATACGGCCAAGTGTATACATCTCAAAACAATTATAAAAATTCATGCAGTACATAATACATAAGCATCTGTCGTCCATGTTAAGAGATGCAACCTCTACCGATGTCAACCAACACTAGATGGATGTGTTGATACAAAAGTAACATGGAAACATTGAAGACGTAGAATCGATTATCTCATAGACATGTATGATACGAGTATCTTCTACTTAGATTGTAACTTTCGTCAAAATTTATTAAGTTGAAAGGAGTTTAGAGGCTAAGTTTGTGATTACTATGAGGATAGTATGTTCCAATAAATATTTTTTTTGTGAGTTGTCAGTATGCAATGTTGTCCAAGAGAACAAAAACAACTTAAGCTCAGCAATATGCGTGTTGTAGTGCAAGGATTTTTATAAAAGACAAAGATGCTCAATGCAATAGCAAAAAGTAGATTTAACATATTTATGTAAATACTTGTTTATTTTCCTAATCAGGAAAGTTAAATCTTCATCAAAATTCATGAAGAAGTAAAAAAAATCCAAAGCTGCAAAATGTATCTGAATAAGAAATTATCTTTTTACAAAGGCATAGTAATTAATTTTCTTCATCACATTCATGTTTTCAATTTCAAGAATATTTTGACATTAAAATATTCAAATTTTGACCATGACTTATCACCATATGATTTGTTGAAATTTGTATGGATATCTGTATTGAAATAATTTTTTATGTGTATCTGTTTCTTTTATGTCAAGTCAAACTGCAAAAACTATGTGGGTAAGTTAGATAATACTCGTATTTAAAACTGCTGCCACCAACCTTCAGTCTGGTAGAAAAAGCCAAGAATCGAATAAAATTACATCCTAGATATGGAGTAATATCAAAATTACATCAAATATGGAGTAAGTTTTTTCAATTTCAAATTTATTTTGCTTTAGCAATTTAGAGCAAAACCAAGAGAAATATCTCTTTCCGATAATATTTATAATCATTGGTGTCATTTGTATGAATCGCAGAACATTTTATTTTTTAATCAAAATGAAGTTTACTTCGGTGAGGCTCAATTTATAGAAGAATTCATCTTAGATTAAGTAATTGTATTTCACTCAAATCAAGAAGTAATTATCAAAAAGATTTAACAAGAACATTATATTATTAAACCATATTATATTTAGAAATTTCAAGTTTCAAAATATATCTACCGCATATCTCCGAATGATCTAGATTTAACTAATCCATACAAATTCAATAGCCGAGGACCATTATAGTGCAAAATAAAAAAATATCGCTATGTCTTTATCTTCACATTGATCTTAAGTAAAATTTCACACGTTCAGCTTTACTTGTCCCGTAAAGTATCTCAGGTAACTCGTTTTTGCCTTTAACATGAATGCAAATAAAATTGAAATGTTTTAATGGTATTCATGTTAGTATTATACATGTTCCAAATAGTCCACAATAACAGAGAACATTAGAAGGTTAATGTCAAAATTTGAATCGCTAAGATTAAATAACAAGTTATACAACTTTCAAAAAGAGCCCAATCAGGGTTCTGTTTCTTGACAGTTCTTATGATTCTGAACTTTGAAACGAGAAGACTGTTAACCTGGTGGAAGCACATGTTTAGAACATCAAGAATGACAATAGATTAGACTCAATTAGATTTTCAACATTTCACCAAACTTCTTTCAGTAAAGCCTACTTCTAGTTCGATGAGGAAAACAAATACCTCGTACCCTGGATCAAAAGTCAAATTTGTCGTCATCATGCGTACGACATAATGTGAGAGCATTTATTGCGCATACAACATTCAACACTACAGCATTCATGATCATGGCCTACAAATTGAGATCCTCATTGAATATTCTCTCACTCCTTACATGCATCGGTTTAACGCCAGAATGCAATCCTGACTCCGTTAAATGATTAGATTATATATTTTAAAAGGAAGGAAAGAAAGTTGACCTAAGAAAGAGCGAGCTTAAGAGTGAACGCCTGTGCACACATACAGAAGCGCGAGCGACAGATTTCCATCCCATCCTCTGATTCCTATTTCATCGAAATTGTAGGTCAGAAGCACGTGTTTGAGTTGAATATATTCAAATGAGAGATTTTCACTCCAAAATGTGTTGTAAGCGTCAAATTTCACTTCCAAATGACTTCGAACGAATATATATATATATATATATATACTTGAAAATCTAAAGTGATGTGAAGCTCGTCCGAAGTGAACATAAAAAAAGAAAAGTCAGGGAAGTTTAGTAACTCTGATTAACCCTGGTCGGTTATTGGAACTTCAATTCTGAATCTATCACTCCTTCCATACAACTTCCTGTGATTCCTGATAAATTCTTCAAGTACTTTCGCTAGAGGAAATAAGTGTAAATTATGCCAGAAGCATGTCAAGCTCTTGGGAAGCATAAGGTAAACGAAGGATGAACAACTTTGGAACTGATCTAAGCGTTCCCTACTCGATTTCTTACCTTTAAGATACCACTAGCTTGATCATCGAACAAAAAGATTTCCACATACAGAAGGTAACGGTATTGCAATTTAGGGTATATGTCCCAATCTAGGACCACGAAATCCTGTGCAAAGTCATCCACTAAACACTTCGAAATTAATCTGTATCTGTGACCCGAAAGTGGCCTTGGATCACGGCTAATTATGTTCCGCATGGAGCTTGAACCTCCACCAGCAGAGCTATGTCGAGAAACAGATGCGCTCTCATGTGAACAAACTGCATTCCACTTCTTCTTTTCCTCCTTGTCACACATTGTGCAAGCTATTAAAATAGATCCCCTTCTTCGTCTTCTTGCAATTCAGAGCACGGGTCGAAATCATGAATTGAACTCTTCAGGGGTACTCACCGTACATGGGACATCGTGTAGAGATTGTTTGAATATGGCGGCTTGCGGAGTAGGGGCCTCAAATTGGATTTATATTAGAGTGTGGAACAGATAAAAGTGCCTGCGGTCGCAACTGGACTGGCGAGATCCAAGTCTGATTTGCGGGTAGCTTCCTCCGAGTTCTGTGCAGTTGCGTAGTAATCGAATCAAGATGATAAAGTCATTTGATAATTGAATTGCTACAGTCCTTGAGCAGACCTTTGCACCACGTTTCACTCCAAATTCACTTCAATAGATTGAAGCCATATCTTCTGGCTCCGACGAATGTTCACTCGGTTGCGTGAGGGCGGCGAGGATCAATGCCTGCAACTGGTCCAGAATACAGTTTGGATGAATTCACGGGACCTTCACTAGAAAACCTTTCGGAGTTCTGAGCTGCCATTGTAAGTGATTGTGTCATACCGGCCTATGGGCTTTCACTGGACTCTAGGACTTTGAAGTCGTTCGACTCTCTGTGCACAGATCCTTTCATAGCATATCCAATTGCTATATGAATAATAGATAAAATTGAATGCTGGCGCTCGGAGATAAGCATACTGAGATTCGTCGTGAAGATTTTCGTCAACAGGAAGCAAGACTTGTTCCTATGCCTTTAATTCCTCTACAAACGTCACGAACAAGGGTTAAGACTATAAAGTCTCAACACTCATAGAGCCGATCATGATTCGGCTCATCTGGCTCGCCATAACCTTCGGTTGGCGTATTTCACCACCGGTGGTCTCAGCTGAGTACCTCAGCTGCTATTAGAACTACGACATTTTGCCTGAGCTCTCCCTCCTCTAGCACACAATTTGGTACGAGGAATTCTCCAGGCGCAGTCATGCTGATCTACACCGGATTTTTCAGTTACAGCCCGTATCCAAAGAAATCAGATCAAGCGCTCGTCCTCGTGGTAGAGAACGACTTCGAACTCGGAGCTCCTGTGACGGCGATGTGGCAATGGACTTGCAACGAAGACAGGAAGGGGTTGAATGTGAGGTGCGTAGGCACTTTCAGCAGTTTCGAAACTGGCAATGTTCCTTACGACTACACCACTTTCGTGGCGTTCGGTGACCAGGAGTATTCTCTCAGACTCTTGGTCCGCGAGGATCGAAGCAAGATCACTGTCCAAATGTACAAGACTCCGAAGACGGGCAGATCGGACCGTGAGATGGTGGACGAATTCGATCTGGACTACAGCGTTGTATCTGATTCAGTCCGGACCAGGGCACCCGATTATAGCCCGGCTCGCGGTCTTCCCGAAATCCAGTACTTCGACATGATCGAGTGGAATGAGAATCTGTTCACTCTCACTGTCCCGGACAATCTCTGTCACGACGGGCCCATCTGGGTTACTTTCGTCGACAGCGATTTGCACTCGGAACTAGGCACGATAAAAATTATCGAAGAAACCCCCGAGAACGTGAGAATTTCGTTCACAGCCGGCGAGTACGATGCGGAGGTGAGATTGGATAGCGAAGGCAGCAGCTGGGAACTTCTCACATTCAATCATCGAAGTGCAGTGTCCGCAGTTCGAGAATCGGAGGAATGTCCAGTCTCGGAGAAGGAATCGGACCTTCCGATCGGATTGGCGTCGAAATTACACCCGATGATGGAGTTCCGCTCCGTGCGAATTTTCCGCTCCACGTCCAGAGTCATGAACGACTTGAAGGAGGCCTACTTATGCACCCTGGACGAGTCGGGGGCGACCGTCAGAGGTAAAGTTCTGGCAGGGATGGGGTTGTTCATGGGCGGCGTGGGCATAATGCCCCTCGGAGGCTTCGGACTTCCTCTCGCCATCGTCGGCGCATTGCTGGCCGGGGTGGGGATGTACGATGCCGTCAACGACGCCGATGGTGCCGTGCGGGGATTTTTGTTTCCCGGTGACGACATCGAGCGCACAACTTCAGGCGGATTTGCTTTCGGCGTCAATTCCTTGGTGGTGATGCATGTCTTGATCGAAGACAAGACACTGACGCTGCGCATCGGGACGAAATCGAAACTCGACGGAGGAGATCACTACCTGAGTGCTCTGATCGACGAGAAAGGTTTCTTCGAACCGATTTTCAAAATCTTCTGGAATGAGCTCACGGGCGTAGTCCTTCAGTCGGCCAGAATGATGAAGATCTCCGGCCTCATTCCCTGTTGCGGCAAGCTGCAGGACCTGCCCTCCTTGTCCGAGGGATCGCAATACACAATCGGCCGTGGCCATATCATCTCGAACGACCAGGGCCGGGATGCTTTGTGGAACACGCTGAACGTGAAACCGAATCAAATGCCAATCGAACTCTTCAGGTTTGGTGGGCTAGAAACAGCCATAATCGTCGAAGCGTCCGACGAGAAATCTCTACCAGCGCCAATGTACGAATTCTTCCGGCTTCCGGAGTCCAAAATCTGGGTTTTCTCGCTGGAAAACTGTCATGTATATGCTGAACGCAGCAGACTCGTTTCCTCGAAGTGCAGAACTGAAGCTGACGTTTACGCGAAGATGGTGCAACAAGCTGGCTACTACGCTTATATGTATGAACCCCCGACTTTGATTGGTTACAAGCTAGAAGATCTATCGATGGCGAGCATAACATGCTCATCCTATCGTTACGAGAAGTTGTTCATTCCTATATCTGGATGGATGCCATGGCAGCGCATGGTTCCGGCGCTCCGCGAGAACGAACTGTCTCTGTGAAGCGGACTGAGGTTACTGCTAGAAATCTCTCTTGACTTCAAATCGCGCATGGCGTTTGGACCCATTTGAGTTTCGTAAAGGTCGTAATGAGGATTCGGAGATTCATGAAGCGAGTCCTGAGCAGAAGATAGTGAGTCGAGCGTTTACGTCAATTCGGTTTCTTCCAGTGATTGATCTGAGGGAGCATCATGATACAACCAGAACTCGGTTCCCGACAAGCAGAGCCACCTTGACGGCAGTTGTATTCGATGCACTGATCCTCAGAGAGTTCCTCTCTCAGGATCAGGTTTCTATAAGATGATATTGAAATAGCGAACAGGATGATTAAGCACCCCGATTAATAAACAGTGGCCACAGGTTCCAGTGACATGACTACTTACGAAGATAATAAGCTTCGAATCTGATCTAATCTGCCAGATAAGCTCCAAGTAGACAGAATGACCGTGAGCCGGTTATGGCCTTCGTATACAACACCTCCTCTCCACACACAATCGTATATTTCAGAACTGAAACCCATTGCCTGAGAGTGATGTCAGTCACAGGCCGGTCGTTGATAGGTTTTACGAAAGTTGAAGTTTATTAGGCTTTGTTCGAGCAATTCCGTTTCATTCCGTTATGAATGGTTGACCTCTTCGGACCGCAATGTTCAGAGTCTGCTGAAGAAGCTTAAACTCGACTTCTTTAACTTCTTTGGATGCCCGCCCACTTCTCGTAAGTGTTCTCTATAACACTAGAGATTTATTCTCGTCGTATAACTGGCATGCTACATCGTTCTAAAAAGAAATGTACTTGTTCTTTACACGATATAAACATCTCAAAGTTTGAATAAAGAATCTTTTTCATACTAATTTAGACATCTTCAACTATGCAGCTGATAAATGCTACATGAAATTTTCTACTCTGAATTCATACTACAAGGAGATAACCTAGAAGTAACAAAAGTGTTGCAGTAGCATAATTTGTAATCATTAACATTAGAGTGTAGCTTGTGCTATTTCTTTTGTTGTATAATGTGCAGATGCTTGCATTCTCTTCTATGTTGTTTTCTAGAATCCAACATCATATAATCTCTGCCAATATGAAGGAAACGTTTTGTTTGTATCAAGTATGGTTCTTTGATGTGATTTTTTAGAAACTTTGCATTTTTTATATGCTTCTGCATTCCGTAAAGCAACAAAACGTGTAATTCATGTCCTATTTATAAATATGAAGCTGGTTGAAATAGCTTCATCACAGTCTCAGGTGTTTAGTAATGCACAGAAGTTAAGAATTAAAATAAAAACCCACCCCCACACACACACACAGAATCAACCAAATTACCGAAGCCCTCTCTTTCAGCGTCCTTTAGTTCTCCAATGAACTGTGGAGAGCCTGGAGGTCGCTGAATGGCGTTGTAATGACGACAAGATTCAGTAGATGCGAATCTGCGGCTCCTGGCGAAGTGATGGGAAGACAATGTTTTCTTTCCATCAGACCTGGTCATTGATTAGTCTCCAATCACGTGAATTATGCTTCATGAAAACGATCCCAAGCATCCGAAGGTCAAGTCGGGGCACCCTGAGAGATGACACCGATCACCCTCAGTCTCCGGATCGATCGACTTGCTGCCGATGCAATCACGTAAAGTTTTCTGTCGGTCATTTATATAGAGGCTTCAGACACTTCAAAACTTTGTAAATCCACATACAATCTCTCGTCGATACTTCTCTTCACGTGGAAATGAGACATCCTTTTGAATCTGAAGTGCATCAAATGATTTGTATGAGCATCGGTTTCTGAGTGTCGTTCCTCAGCAGTCCCGTCTGAGCTTGGAACTTCCTCCTGGTTTGCCAAACGAGCCTGGGAAAGTTTGAAAGTCTGTTTCCAGGTGATTCATTTCCACGTCCTCCGTTTCCTCGCATCGTGTACCGCTTTATGGCTTCATGGATACCTCGACACGACTAAGTGTCTGACACTAACGAATCCTCCTGGTCATTCATTGACTCTACATGATTCAAAAGAGCACACCGTGCAGAATCCTTGTTGCAGGTCCATCCTGTCTACTCCTGATCCATGTGTATGAGTGGTGCGCAAGGGATAGTTAATTCTGTGAATGCTTCTGCAACGCATGAATGAGTGTTATCTTCGCCTCGTGTCTCTCGGCTAACGATCTCTCTTACAAAGTCTAGCATTTCATTGACTCGACAATGAGACAAAAAGCCAAAGTTGGGCACTTCTCAGCGATGAACAGTCCCCCAATCTACCATCTCGCAATCACCCTTGTGTCATCGGCGACAGAACGCAATAGGAAAAGAGGCAATTCAGTAAATTGAATGACGTGCTTTCTTTACATATGAGTGTACAAGACGCTAAGACGGTAGATTGTACAACCAAAAATCGTCCCTCTCTTCCTACAACAGGTCATTTCAAGATATGTCGCCCCTCGCGCCAATTACGGGCAACACAGTAGAGCTTACGAAGAATCAGAACGACCATCTACGACGACAAGAGTGTGAGACCTCGTAACAGCAGACTTTCTGCAACGATCGCGTAAGAGCGATCTCTCACACCAGTCCCGACTCTCGCTCGATCAGATAGATCTCTGGGCCGGCTCCCACGTCCTGATTCGGAAGCACAATATTGAGACGTCGGAGCCGAGCGAGAGTGCTCTCGGAGAAGACTCGACACGAAGCGGAGGAGGTATGTATGTACTGCAAGGGGGAGAATTTGCCTACAACGTCGCTTTGTGTGGGCGGAACCAGTTCTCGGTCAGAGCGGCGACGCCGCGGGAGCAGGCCCAGTGCACAGCGGCCATGAGGAAGGCCAGCGCCACGAAGGCGGCTCGGCTGGCGGGCTTGGACAAAACGGCGGCGAGGCCAGCGGAGAGCGCCGCCACCACCAGCGCCGCCTTCTGGCCGGCCTGGAAGTTGCGCAGCGCCGTCCGGCAGGCTTTGCAGTGGACGACGTGCCGGAAATACCGGTTGGTCGGGTCGCGCGCGTACCGGTGTCCGAAGGCTCCCTTAGCCGGATGCGTCGACGAGGCGCTGGCGCTCAGGCCGGCGGGAGAAGCCTCCTGCACGGCCGAGACGGGCGCCGGCGAAAACGTCCGGTGGCCGTAGTAATACGGCATGCCGTGCCCGACCTTGTCGAGCCACTTGCGGTACTCTTCCACGAACACGTCCTGAGACTTCAGGTTCAGATAGAGGTCCTTGGTCGGCTTGCCCTCCCGGACCAGCACCTCGTTCTGCGAGCTCAGGAACGCCATGTCCTGCTCGAAGATGACGCTGGCCCGCATGTGCAGGTACCACCGCGGCACTCGGGTCATCAACCAGCTCGCCGTCTTGCCGTCCGCCCGCGAGTTCCCGAACCGGATGATCAGCATGGCGCTCCCTTGTCCGGCCGGCCGGCACAGGATGGTGGCGCTGAACCGTAACTGCACGCCGTCCGGGAGCACCTTCTTCTGCTCGGTGTACGCGACGCCTGGGGCGCTGAACCGCGTAAAGTTCATCACCTCGGGCGTGCTGACCAGGTGCCAGTTACCGGCGAATCCCTCGTCGGACCGCTCGGTTATATTGAAGACCATGGCTTCCGCCAACTCCCTCCGGCTTCTGGGCCCGTCGGACCGGTCGTGCGAGATGGGAATATGGGCGGGATCCATCAGATTCTCCAGCAGCACCGAGTAGTCGTACGGGAGCACGTGCACCCCTCCGAACTCCGCGTACCCTTCTACGTCGTAGTGGTCGAAGTACGGCACCTTGTCGTATGGCGCCGATCTGTGGTCCGCCATCCACACCCACAAGACTCCTTGAGACTCCTTCAAGGCATACGACCGCGCGCACGCTTGCTTCGGAATCTTGGCTCCCGGAGCCAACTGCCACAAACGTTCATCCGCGCACATCACAACACTATTATAATAAATAATAAATAAATAAACTGCTCGAATATTCAAATTCGAGATCGACTTGCACCGGTCCAAAGCTTCTTCTCATACACTGCTTGAATTGAATCAAATTGAATTTGAGCTCTGATTCGAGTTCGAGTTCGAGTTCGGATTTGAATTGCACCGGGCCGAAGCTTCTTTTTCACGCCAGCGCTTGGAGGCTTCAGTATAAAGAGAGGGCTCACGAGGCGAGCAGGACTCATTTTCCACGATAAAGATCGACATCGGGAATTGTGGTTCGGGGCGACTGAGGAGTGCGGGAGGCGATGGCGATGGTGAGAGGGTAGGTACCTGCGGGATTTTGGTGCACGATCCGTCGCCTTGAAATTGCCACCCGTGGTACAAGCACTCGAGTCTGCCGTCCATGAGCTGCCCTTCCGATAGCTTCGCCGCCCTGCCAACACAACAACAACAGATGCAACGATGGAGCAGTTTTGATTATCTGGTGGCTGGTGGCAATTTCGTTATCACCTGAAGTTTGTTTCCTTTCCTGCTGAAGAAGGTAAGCAAGCTTTCGTGACACCATCGGGTGATTCCAGTTGCTTGACGTCTAATGACACAACCGGTGTTTCGCAATTCGACCCCAACTGGCAACCAGAAGGAACATCACCGATCGACGCTAGAGACTGTCGGGTCGTCAGAGCATGTCCATGAAGCTCCTCCGTAACGCGTTAGACCTAGACTGTACGATTTTATCGTGAGGATGATCAAAACGCCCGCTGTCGAAATTGAGCTGTGTGTGTGAGAGAGAGTGAGTTGGGGGTGAACCTGTGAGGGCAGCGGTCTTCGAGGCAGTTGAGCTTGCCGTCTCCATCGTAAAACACGACGAGATTACGGTCGAACACGGTAAGACCGAGGGGTGCATCTTTCGGGACTTCCCGGGTCAGGTAGAGCGGATACCACTGCTCCTCCCAATTGTAGTTCACCTTCGCATCCGCAGAATCCGACTCAGTGGAAACCCTGCTGCTCTCCTCTGTTCCACCAAAGTCCTTCGCTAGGCGATCAGCTATGGCGCACAGGGCCGAGCGCTTCCTAGACGATTGAGAACCGCAGGCCTCACTACGAGACGAACTCTGCGAACGAACAGAGACGGAGCTCAAGGAAGCATTGCCGAAGATATCGCTTCTCGTGAGGGCCGCACCGCGACCGAATGTCACGCTCGGGCCAGGACCGCTCGCGCATTGAAATTCTCCAAATTTCCCCGCACTCGCCCACTCCCTCCCTAAAATCGAAGCTGCCTCGTGAAACCCCACGACCCCAGCCGAGACAGCCATGGCACCTGAACCTGGCGAAACGAAACTCCGCCCACGAAGCTGAGCTCTCGAGCCTCTCTCCGCGAACGATGCTTGCGATGTCGGGCACTTTCATGAACTAGGTTCCGACTCAGGACGCGCGACACACGCCGGGGCCTGTCAGTCAGTCACGGCTCGACATTCTCGTGACTGACGCTGAGCACTCGATTCCCCTCAGTCGCCCGCGGCGAAAATCCACCACTTATTCCTGCGCGGCCCATATTTCCGCTCCAGTTTCTTCCCTTGGTGCTTGTTGCCCGGTATCATGACAGCCGCCGTGCATGGGAGAAGGCTGGCCGGAGTCTAGAGGTCCTGTCGTTCTAAACTCGCCACGCCCGCGAAGAAGATTGCTGTTCATTATTTGTGATGAGAAGTGTAACATATCTCCGTGCAGATATTCGGAGACATGTTAGGTAACACATTCCTAGAATGTGGGGAGAGAGCCGTCGACAAATCTGGAGGATATGAGATGACTTTTATGGTGAGGTCTTTTCCCGCTCATAATTTCCTCTCTTTTAATTCCTTGATTTATATAAGTTTGGACAGACTAACCAAAGTACTATTCGGCAATATTCTTACTTTACTTTTGAAGTATTGCAGTTAAATAAAATCATGAGAATTTTTTTTAATTTAAAATTAATTTTGTTTACATTTATTTAAATTTAGTAAAGCATACACCATGGAGATGATTATCTGAGGTTAGTATTTGTATTCTATCCAGAAAAAGACAATTACTTGATGGAATACTTCCCATGTACAAGTTCTTGTAAGTGATTCATTTTAATATTAAAAAAAACTCTACAATTGAAAGAAAGAGACATCATATTGGACTTCAATTTATACTAGTTGGTAGTAGGTATCTTGAGGTATTCAAAGTAGAAACTTCATTCACCAAAATAGTAATGTGACTACGGCCAAGAATTTCAAAAGAAAAATGATAGAAGTAGATAGATAGTTAGTGATTAGAAAAAGAGAGAAGATCTCTTGAAGATTGGCGGCCATGGAAATTCAACCAATATACAAAATTATAGTTACTTTCACTGATGTATTTACTTGATGGTATTGCAGCGGAAACTAAATTACTTGATGTTAACATCAAGTTTCGTTTTAACCCATGGTATCCCAACGAAAACACAATGTCGCGAAACCTAAATTGTTTGATAGTATCCATGAAATTTCATTTTACGCGATGGAACACTAACGAAGACACATCATCGCGAAGTTCTAAAATATGTTCTTGTACACATATGATGCGAACTTTAGTGGATCTATGCAATCTAAAATGTCTACTAGTTTGATTTTATTCTCATTATCTATTCCATGAGGATTAAATTTGAACTAAATATGCTGGATTTTTGTAGAATCAGTAGTACTTCCAACATCTAAAATATGATATTGACCAATGATAATCAGACACTTCAATATATATAAACTTCTCTCATATATAAACACCTTGTCTGATTATAACACTATGGTTTAGAGGGAATCCATTGATGGAATTGATAATGAGAATGGAGGGCACTTCTCTCTAATCCATTGAACATCAAGGGTTTCCACAAACTCGTTGTTTGCGGTTACATTAGTTGAAACCTACTCTCCTTTTGAAAATGTCATCAAAATTGATAGTGTAATGTGATGAGCATTATATATGAGGATAAATGGAGACACATTTATAGATGCATTTACAGAATTGTTATATGCAAATTCCATAAGAATCAAAAGAGTATTTCACTCTTTTTGCTTCTCTAATGTGAATGCTTGTAGCAAATACTCTACAATTCTATTGGCTTTCTCTGTTTGACCATCTGTCACAAGATGATAAGGTGTTGATATTGCTAATTTGGTTTTAAAAAACTAAACAAAATTTTCCAAAAAAAACTAGTGAAATGATTACCTCTATCAGTAATTAATACTTTGCTTAATCTATGATTCACAAAAACCGCATCTAAGTCCAATTGAGCAAGTTCTGCAGCCGTCACAGTTTTTTTTGTTGGTCTTATGTTAATTATCTTGCTCAATTTGTCCACAAAAACTACCATTGATTCATTTCATAATAAATTTTTTTATAACTCATAAACAAGATCGATGGTGACATGTTCACATCGTTGTTCGGTAATACGAAAAGACTGTAATAAACCAGTTGGTTTTTTATTATTTGTCTTGTTTTATTGACAAACAACACAACTTCAAACGAAAGTTTCCACATAGTCCCGTAGTTTGGGCCAAAAGTAAACTTTGTGTATGCTTTCCAAGTTATTCTCAACTTCCACATGACATGCAATGGATGTATCATAATTTTTTGGTAAAATCATTGTGTGTAATTCTTGATCTTACGAAATTAATTATACATTGTTTGTAGAACGCCAAACCTCTAGCCTTCTCTGCCCAACCAGCTTGTAATATCCTCATGATCTCTTCATACTACTTTGTGGTATGTGTCATCTTGCTCCACCAATCTGCCCGAATCTTCACTTCTACAACATGATTCAAACAAGTCATGCGTGTGAGAGCATTCGCAAGTTGCTTTTTGCCTTCCACGTGCACAATCTTCATGTTGAAGCCACTCTGCTCATTAAATTTGTCATTTAGAGATATACTTTTGAATTTCCAAATAAACCAAGGAGTAATGATCTGACTTCACCACAATCTCGTTATAACCTAAGTAATGCTTCTAATGTTTGATTGCCAACACAATGGCTAACTCATCTCATTCTACCGTGTGATAGTTTTGTTCCTCCACCACCGTAGAAAATATATGGATGTAATTCATTCTCCCATTCTTATTGAAGTATGTCATCCATCATTATGCTTTATGCGTCAGTAGCCAACTTGATAGGACGGTTAGATCATATCACTTGATGATAGGTGTGTGTAACAATGATGGTGCAATTGTGAGATCAAAAGTCATAAGTAGATATTCAAAATAATTATACCTAGAACAAAAAGTTGTTATGTGAACATCTTTATCTTCAATTCAAATTTGATTGTGGTCGCTTCTCAAATCTAGCTTGGTGAAGTACTTTGGTCATTAAAATTGATTAAACAAATCATCCATAAGAGGTAATGAATATTTTTTTTCACCGTTTATTGATTCAACTCCCAATAGTCGACACATAGCCTCATAGATCCATCATTGTTCTTCACAAAGAGCACTAGAACTCCATAAGGTGAAACACTTGGTTGAATGAATCTCTTGTTCAACATCTCCTCCACTTGAGTTTTGCATTCTTCCAAGTCGTTTGGAGTCATACGATATGGAGCTTTGCAAGTTGGTGTACTTCCAGGTATCACCTCAATCTTGTGATCTACTCGCGTCTTTGGTGGTAATCGTATAAGTAGATCATCTGGAAAAACATCTTTATACTCCATAAAAGTTTCGATCAAAGACTCTATGGTGTAAAGTTAGTTCGTGGACCCAATATCTCTAGTAAGTCCAAGGAAACATATATCATCTCTAGAATTTGATGTTTTATCCATTAGAAGAGGAAAAAAATTCTTCATTTGAGATGTAATTTTATCTCCATTAATCTTCCAATCACAACTTGTAATCACTTTTCTACTCCAATCTACCTATGGATTATATTGCTCTATACATGGCATTCCAAGTATAATATCATATCGAGCAAAACGACTTACTCTTTATTCAATGTTCTCCTTGTATCTACCTATAAATATGTCTACACTCTGTGGTGGTATCTCTATCACTTCAGTTTGTCCGTTCGGCAATTCAACTTCCTCACTCAAGTCCTTCATCAACATCAAATCTAAGTTCATAGTAACAGTCATTGATAGAAAATGTTTTGTTGCTACAGGATCAATTAGGACTTTCATCTTGTGTACTTCCATCAAACCATCTATGACAATTAGTTGAGTTTGCTTCTTACTCTTTTCATGAACTCTCAACCATTGACTTCTTTCAACCTCGCATTTTCTTCACTTTGTGGAATTAATAAGGCCGCGAGGCAAATTTATTGGTGATTTTTATTTCTCAAAATTTCTTCCTCAAACTCTTCATACTCTATACTCTCCATTTTGTTGAATGTTTGTTGATGTATGAACCGTCCTTCTCATGGTGTCGGTCAAATTTGGCAAAACTTGGCAATGTGATCCATTTGTTCACATGCATAGCATTGATGATTGCCACAAAATGCTCATTTAATTCAAACTATTCCATTATTTGCATAACCTTTTTGCAAATTTGGAATTTCTAATCGTCGAATCTCACATCTAAATCTTAGGGGTGATACTCTTGTTGGTGCAAAACTTATTCTATGTTGAAGGTTTTCAAACTCCATCGGTGTTGGGCTAAATTGATATCAAAAATTGCTTACTGGTTTACTGTGTGTGACACCATAAGCATCTGAAATTTGTTGAGCAATTGCAATTGCTTCGTTCATTGTGGATGGATTGTTCTTCATCACTTCCTTTTGAATTAGATACTCTAAGCCTCGTTTGAACATGTCCAAGGCTTCTGCTTCACCCATGTCCATGATAGATACTTGATATTCATGAGTATCTACATACTTGAAGAATTCTTCAATGTACTCATGAATATTTCCTTTTGGCTTCAAATTCCACAAATCCTTCTTACATTCCACTTCACGAAATGGTAACATTTGTTCTGAAAGCATTCTCTCTCATGTTGTAACCATGTGAGAGCTTTATCCGTAATATAAAATATCATGAACATTCCAACAATATAATCAAAAACATGAAAATGGTATAAATGAATATTCATACTCATTATCCATACTTCTTACACTTCCATCGCTCTGTGTGTGTGTTACAAGTGTTTCTCATTCGAAGCAAAAGATTTGCTTGATCTTCAATTTCTTAGAGATGTATGTTGCATCAATAGGAATTGGTTTTTTTTGAACTTGGGAAGCTTGAACTTGAGTTTCAACTTCCATTTGTCCAATTCTTTCTCTTTCTATTCACTCACTCTCTAATGCAAAGATTTTTGTACTTCATGGCTTGCTGCTTGATATGCCCATCTACTTTTGCTTTTCTCAACTCCTTCATCTCCGCCATGATTGTGTTAAGAAAATCATCCATATCGATTGATGTCCCCATGTCTTTCACATTCACTCTAATACAGAGTGAGTATAATCACTATCTGACCTCTCAACAAAAGAGTCACAAAAGGTATAGGTGATTCTATCACAACTCTATAGTACTCTTCCCTATAATTCCTCACAAGAAAATTTCTCCACAATCTCTTCTATCAATATCTGTTTTAATCTCTACATAATCCGGTACGAGTGATTCGCGATTTAAATCCATGAAACATTCAGTATAGAATGTACATGGTATAATTTCAAGTCTCTTCATAATTAACTATTGGAAAAATCAGTGGTACTCTTGACTTCATCATGACTAGAGATTCATTAAATCTGCATCCCAACAATCCATAAAATAAATCCAAAAATGATGTTTCTCCATACAACAAAGATGAATATCGAATAGGTTAAGAATAGGTCAGTGCTGTACTAGATTCTTATCAAGCCTATCCATATCTGCAAAACCACAATTTACTCCTTCCTCCTCTCTCTACAAGCAGATCAATTACCTTTGTCAGCTTCTATACACTCTCAAAACTGTACTCCATCATCACTGACTTGTTACTGCATGATGTATAATCCACACTCAAATGAAAGAGCAAGATCGTCGTGATACCATTGTAACACTAGTGTTTAGAAAAGAACTCACTCGAAGATAGAAACATAAACTCTGAAAATGAAAGATGTTAACAATGGTTCTACTCTCCCTTATATTACTCTTACCAACAAGTATAATGAGATAAGATTTCAGCCCCGCCATACATCTCACTCCTAGTGGATGGATGATGTGATAAATAACCCTAACAAGCACATGGATTGCTGACGTGGCGCTCTCAACTAACACATTTACTTTCTACCTACCAAGCATGTGGATCACTAACGTGGTAGCTATGACTAGTGAGCTCTGAAGTAACTATATAAACATTTTGAGTAACCTCCAATTTAATTCTAACTAACTAAAGATTGTTACATTGCGAAAGCAGGAGCTAGTTTTACATATATTCCATATCATCTAATGACATTAAATGCATTTTTCACTTGACTAGTCTTTATGTTCAAAAAAATTTCTCTCAAATTTTTGCATGAAATCATCTGCTTCTGAAACACTTTGCAACTAAGTAATATTGTCATCCAATCTCTATTTTTCTATCTCTCAGCATCATGAGAAGGCTGAGTGATAGACAACGTTGACAAGGCCAAAAGAACATAGGAGCCTTTGGTCATCTCCAACCGTGACCATGACTACCCCATTTGTCTTCGTCATTTTCTGCCCTCGTAGGAATGTGAGCAACGTTATGACAAGTAAAAATTCTGCTCACGGATATGATTGTGGAAAAGTTTGATCATTTTGTGATTAAAAATCAAGAAGTAGTAGTAAGTATCAAGTAGTAGTATTGATGGAGTTCATGAGCACATGATTGAGGTAGTCACTATTGACGGTAGATTCTGATGATTGAGCTAATCAATCTTGACAATAAATTTTGGTGATAGAGCTAATCAAGATTGACGGTAAACTTAATCCAACTGATGTGTTGATCAGAGTTATTTCTTTGAAAAGATTCATGCGACACTTTGCTATCATGCACGTTGTATGTGGGAAAAACGATAGAATCTGCCAGCACCTATCTTTAGTTATCTCTTTATATATTTTTATTTTATTATGTGATGATTATGATTTAGTTCTAGTTAACTCATGTAAATATGGACCTTGTATTAGGTTTTTTTTTTTAGAATTTACCGCTGAATAGTTATATAGGTTACAAAATTTTTGTTTTCTCTTTACTAGCTAATTTTTAATTATCTATTTATGTAATTATTTTATCATGTTATGGTTATGAATTAGTTCTAGTTAACTCTCGTGTAAATTATATTTTGCAAATAAATATCTAGCAAAAAAAAAATTCAAAAAAAATCTATACAATTTTCATAAAAAACTTATCTAAATCCTGACATATGTTTTATTCTTAACATGACATATAAATGTTGATACGATCAACAAATTACACATCTTATAGAGCATAAATAATATGAATGTTTTATTATCTTCTTTAGTAACTATTGTTGTTTCAATAACATTCATGATCTTCAACTCAATTGCTCTATGTTCTATATGTTTCACACAAAATTATTATCATCAATATATTTCAATTTTTACTTTCAAACAATTCACTTTGATTTTATTTTTTATTTTATCACTTAAAATATCATTAAGAACATAAAATTTTGATTCTAGAATCAATTTTATCACTGAATATTCAAGTGTTTTGTCATACTCAAGACAATTCAAATTCATTTCAATAAATACAATTCATATCAAAAGCAATATTCAAATAAATCAATAATACATTGTTTTAGATATTGGAGAATTAAAAAATTTGGAGAATTAATAAAGTAAAATCAGATTTATGTTTAAAATTAAAGCTATCCTAATATTATTTAAATAAATATTATCTTAAAATATGTGTAAATATTATGGATGTGATCATTTTTAGTTTTAAATTTTTGCAATAATTTAAAAACTAGAAATACATCTTAAATTTCTTGATATATTTATGATACAAAGATGAGAAAAAATTGGCAAAAAAAATTTACATTTATTTTATTTTTTATTGAAGTTAATCATTTTGAAAAAAAAATTCAAGCTTTAAATTTTTATTATACATACAAAATCAAAATTACATATAACATATACATTGATATGATTTATATATATATATATATGAAATAACATGTTAATATTTATTTTTGTATTTGATTAACATCCAATATGATTACATGCATGCTTAAATAAAAAAGAGGAAAAAATTATTTCTTAATATCTGTTGATTAAAAATATTTACTTAAAATATGAAAACTCAAAATTTCACAATTTTACAAGAAATATACAATATTTATCTTAGCAATTGTGCATGGGATTTTATCTTCTGTTAAACGTAAAATTTAAAGAAAATTGAACCAAAATCCAATGAGAAACCAAGTTAACGAATGATACCAATGATACATACCTTCGACTAATATACATTCACAATGGAAACAAGCGCGATGTTTTATTCCAAGTTTGTGAAACAGGGTTTGATGTACAAGGACCCTTCTAGCTATATTCAGCTAGGAGTCAAGATTGTTGCTTAACTGATATTAATTTCAAGAATTTTACTCTTAGTTCATGTTAAGGAAATTGTAATCTATATTCATATCATTTTTCAAATAAAAAATTAACTTAAGGTCGATATTTTACCCAAAAATTAATTAAAACTAAATCATAACTATAACTAAAAAATACGAAAATTAAATTAAAATATTTATTAGCATAGACAAACATTAATCTCATAATATATATAATTATTTCGTTATAAGTTCTAGAAAAATACCTAGAGATTGTGACTATAAAAGATAATAATGTTACAGCCCGTGTATCAGAACTCGCTCTGATATCAATTAAAAGATGTTAAACTGGAAATCATCAATGACAAAACATAATGAAAAATCAAACCAACACAAGAGAAAGAAATTAATATAACTCACCCCTAGGTTACATACTCGATGGAATGTGCATGATGTTCTATTCCAGGTGGGTAAAACAAGGTCAAGTATTCACTCAACTTGATTTTTCAAGTGTAGCTAGTTTTTTAGTGCGCAAAATGTAAGTTTCATATTTAATTACTTCTATTGTGATTCTTAAATGTCAATGTTCAAACACATAAATTTGATATATTTTTTACTCTAATTCTTAATGAGAAAGATAGGTTCTTATGAAAACTAATCAAATTTCAAAGTTAAATTTTCTCATACACATTCCTGGCGTGTGAATATCTCCACAAGAGAAGTAATGTTTGTATATCATAGTTAAAGTAATTATTTTTTGGTAACTAAATGATAAAGTAAATCCATTTATTTATTTATTTATTGTACAGATTTTACATAAAAACCCAGAAAACCAACCTTCACACCAATTTTAGGAGTATAATTACAATATTCCTGTCTTGTTGATTTGATGAACTGTTCCTCACTTCACTCGTAAATACTTTGAGCACCACAACACGATTTCTTTGTTTTTACCGCATTGTCTTGTTGCCATCCTTTTCGTAGCTATTCGGTAATTTAAACTTTCGTCAGTGCATAGAGGAATACTTAGTTCCTCAACATCACCAAATTTACGATTCAGATATGCAAGCTTTATGGGGTCAGGGAGCAGTCCCTCAATGTTTTACAAGACAGATTTGCAAGATATGTTGCAATTCATTCTCGTGTTAGGATACTCTACTGCTCGAAAAATTTACGTCCTAGTGATATTATCCTCAATGCCCTGCTGTCTACGAACTGGCTGGCTAGTATTAGGCCAGTTCGACATTTTCGATAATATACTTCCAGACTCACGTAGATGAGCTACGTTCTCCTTCTTACCCGAATGTGGAGTTCCTTCTTACACTACTACACGTCAAGGTTCTCGTGAGTTCACATGAGGACGTCGGAGCATGACGGATTCGATCCTAGCCGAGAGTGAGGTTCATTAGAAGGCTAGCAAAGATACTCCATAGCAGAATGAAGTACCCAACTTCAGGTAGCAGAGCGATGTCCTTGCCACATACCTTGGCATGAATTCGTAACTCCTTTGGTACTCGATATCGTGATAGTCTTTCACTGCTTCGAGCCACTGAACGACCGAGTCCTACCTCCTCACTAGAGAGCGCTAAGAGTGATGTTCCAGCTAGAAACATTCGCAAAAGTGCTACGAGAATAAGCTCCGAAGAATGAAGATGCGGACTCTCAAAAACTATAGAAGTATCGAGGATGAATTCTATCGAAGACAAACAATGCAGATGCCAATCGCTCTGAATCAAGGTTTCTATCCCGAATAATCACTAACTACTTGTTACATCGAAGCATAGTTCTGTGAGAAGCCCGAGGCCCATCGTTGAGAACCGAGAGCAGCTGGTCCTTGTTACAATGACAGTACACAACCTCCAATCCCATAACTGATACTGCTTTTGAAGTAGGCAAACATTACCTATATGAACCGAAGGAATCAAGCACATAGACCTATGTGATGAGCTTCCACCATCTAATTGTACACATCCTACTTCAGTGTCTATTCAAACCTTCTCAAAAACACATAAATAATCTGCTCTCCTCACGATTGATGATCCGCTGACAACGTGACCATATATCACGAAGGCCATGTACGCTCCAATTCAATTACAGGTCAAACCCAGACGCCTACCTACCAGGTAACCTCAAGAACCAAAAAGGAAATTCGTAGTGCCTTCAAGTAAAATAAATGGTGTACGACCGGTATCCGGACCCGACAATTCCTGGAGGTGTCCTGGTAAGGTTGATAGCAGGGAGCGTTCGTCATGGTATAATTGTGGCTGCAAAATAATCGAGATTTGGCTGGATCCAGAAGGATAATGTCTTCGAAAATACAAGAAATATTCCCGAGTGGTGTGCAAAATGATCTCGAGACGGATGACAGCTATACATCATTACCACATCCCTCTTGCTAATGACGGAGATAGACAAAAGAATCCGGGTAATTCAAATTTTACTCGTAAATATACAACTGAAAGAGCAAACCGGTCACCAACCTCGGTCGTCACAAGAGACCACGCATAAGATTACTTGAAAATAAGGAGAAAAATATAGACAAGTATCAAGGAGCAAACATGAGAACCAAAGGATATAGTCGAAACTAATCTGATTGTTCTGGAGCATCACGAGATCCACTGCAGCCAGGAGGACTGCACCCAAAGTCAGAAACAGCTGGATGGCGTATCATACCGGAAAAAGCATTGTTTCTTTCCCTCAAATCTGAATATTAAAATACATGATGTACCGCTGGAACAAAACTGTCCATGACAATTTGAGTCTCATAACTTTCACGAAGGGGAAATTTCTCCCCTGCATAATGGGTGGGACTTAAAGAAGAGGAAGGGAAGGAGGGGGTCAAGCAATGACAACTGCAGCGCATATCTGCGTCAGTAAGAAAATCGGTCGTATCGTACGCAGTGCATTTAAACTCAACATATGCCTCTGGCGGGCGCAGTCGAACTTCCTGCCTTACCCTCGGAAGTGTCAAATTTGGGTTGATAAGGCGTGCATCTTAAGAGGGTCCACTGACGTGGTTTCATCCCATCCAAGGGAATACTGACCTACTGGACACTGATACAGACCAAATTGAGACCATCTACAACAGGTCACATACACCTCCCAAGGTTCAAGAAGGAAAAAGGTTTCCTGAACATATGCCAACTCGAAAAACGTTTCCGACCCGGAAACTGTTCATCAGGGAGACTTCCAGTTAAATTGGAGGCCCCCAAAGCCTCCTGCAGCACCAAGGCTACCCAACATACTGTTTCCGGCAAGGTCATGGTGGAGCCCTTGACCTGGATCCTGCATTTGCAAGTTGTGTTGTTGACTCCCTCCTGCTAAGTTCAGCCTGCCGTTTAGGGCATTCATTGCGCTTATATTACTCAAACTCCCCACATTTCTAAGGGTGTTTCCAAGGCCAGGAATGGTATTTGCTCCACTCCCAATACTGGAACTCAAAGACCCACCTAAACCACCTCCTAAACTAGTGTTATTCCCTCCTAAATGATTGCTCAGTACTCCATTACTGCTGCCTCCGATAACCGAAGAACCGTGGCCTAAAGAGCCGGACCCACCTAGTGTGTTCAGGCCACTCACACTACCCCCAAGTCCAGAATTAACACCTACATTTCCTCCAACATTGGTTCCACCCAAACCTTGTTGGAAACTTCCACCGTTCATCTGTTGACTCATCATCATTTCTTGGAGTAGATGGTGCACAGCATTTTGGGAATCATGCTGTGCAGATTGGGCGGATTGCATAGAAGACTGTTGCTGCAGCAGATTTGCTGCAGAGTTTAGGGTGCTCTGCTGAAGTGAATTGGAAAATGTGTTAAGGTTAGATGGCTGAAGGGCACCGGACAGAGTAGTCAGAGAAGGTTGGAATGAAGAAATGGAGTTCGTTGGTGAGGCTTGCATCGAGCTGGGTGACTGCAGGGCACTACCGAGAGAGTTCGAGCTATTCTGCAACGAACCTTGCAGAGACGCCAAAGAATTCGGATGTAGGTGATTAGAAAAAGATCCCAGGGGATTGTTGGAGTGTAACGAACCGTTCATAGACGAAGTCAGATTGTTGCCAGCATGGTTATTGCTGCTAACTGCTAACTGCTGCTGCAACGCGGTCAAAGTGTTTGCATTTAGGGCATTCAGAGTACCAGCGTTCTGATCAGAAACCATACTCTGAAGAGCTAACTGCTCTTGCTGCTGCTGCTGCTGCTGTTGTTGTTGTTGTTGCTGCTGCTGCTGCTGCTGCTGCATAGACTGATTCCCTTGTCCACTGGTACTAGAAGTTCTCCGCGGAAAACGCACAAGACTCTCTGATGCATACGAAAGTCGCAATTTAATACAGTAAGTACCCAACTACTTCAGAAAGGCAGGAGAAGATAGACATCTTTGATTCTTTAAACTGCGAGAACTACAAGCAAAAGAGGGGTGCTGGACATAGAACACGACTGCGACTGCATTAAACGAGATAATCGAGGCAAATCAAGTGCCTACCAATTGGCCCCATGTTATTCTCGCGACTGAAGTCAATTAAATCTTTCATACTGTTAACGACCTCCGAAATCTGCAAGACAGATAGAACTAGGTTACACTACATATCTGAGACCTTAAGAACAATGGCCAACAACAGAGAGGAGCATTAAGATAAATTCTCACGATGAAAGACTATGTAGATGCACGTAAACCATTGACAAAATAATTTTGATAATCATTGACCAAGAGACGGTACACTGTTCGTATCACGTACCTGAAGACATCGAACGTATCTCTTCGTGTATCCGAGGTCGTTGACCGTGGGCACCTCCAAATTTCTCGCCAGCTGTCGAGCACTTGTGACAAACCTAAAATGACGTAAAAGAAAGGCAGGTTAACACTGAGATGCATGAGAGATTTTTCACACGCCAGTCATGGAGACAGTAACACAGTCCACCAGTTCCGACAGAAAAAATGAATCACATCTACGGCATATATTCATCAGCACAGCTACTTACAAATGGCAATTAGTTTGCATCTCTTGCAGCGAGAGGCTGGCACCACCATTTTGGTTGGTGGATGTTTGATACTTTTGAGCGATCGTAGCTAGCTGAGTGACCTGCGAAACGCTCAAATCCATCACTTCAACATCAGCCTCAATTGCTTCTTCTTCTTCGAAAACAAGATACTTTTTAAGCTTCGATGTAAGATGGCAGATAAGCCAAAAAATTTCCGGAGGCATTACGTCGGTGGCGCTGTTGCAGTTAAAACAGAGAATGATATCCGATCTGTGTGTGGATGGGACACCTAGAGCTGCGCAGAGGTACCTAACGTCTTGCGTCGTCTGATTCTATTTTGCGCCAACAGTATGAAGAAAGACTATTTGTGTTTGTACATTACTTACTCACGAATATTAAAACTCACCTGCGGTACAATGAGCCGCCGTGGGAGCAGCTCCTCGTGGCTTCTTGCACAGAATTCCCACGACAATATCTATATTCGACAAATATCAACGAAAAGGGTCATTAAACCGTAACAGTCTTTTTGCCAAAAAAAATAAACGACAGTGATGTCTAGTATCCACAATGTGTGGTCGTGCGACGACCTCACAAGCACTTAGAAACTGAAGCTTACTCTCGCAACCATATGCACGAAAATACAGGATCGCTCTGCAAAGTTTAGACATAGTCCCACCAGGATAACGTCGCTAGTAAACTAGCGACACTACCTAACCCACAATAATCAAGTGTGCGAACGTTCCAGGAGTATCACGGGGTACAGACTTGCACGTCTCCACGGTACCTTCAGATCGGCAGAAAAAATTATGCGGAGTTGTCCATCGCGAACAACACGCAGAGCATCAAAAACGCTCTCTTGTATGGCTTTACCATACTCCAAAACCATGAGACCAGAGCTCAATTTGTACTCGTGAGGAAGATCAACAAATAAGAGCTCCTCCAGTATTCCACTGTCATACTTTATCTTGCAAAGTCTTGGTAGAACTTCCACAGTAGTTTCTGAGAGCAGGACATGACAAGTTTAGATATATGAGCACTTGCGATCACGTAGACTTCCAAAATTGTCACAGCAACTACAATGTCAAAAACATTGAGACATAACTTTGCTTTGATCTTTATCCAATGCTAAAAAGAAACTCAGTAAAACTCTTAAGCTCCTACATGACCGGTGAACTACCATGCGTAAGTACACGTTCTTAGGCACTGATAAAGCTCTACGTCTTCCAGTTGATGGACTTTAACTCTAGTTGCTCACTAGAGAACTTGCACTTCCTATCTTCGTCCCTGCACAAGTGCTGTGATCTTTCACACTTATTCTCAAAATCTCAATCAAGGAAATAAAAGTGAAATCTTACCAAAACCACGACCAGGCTTGGTACCGCATATCTCACAGTGCCATACATCCTGTACAAAGAAACGAAGTAAAAAGTTTCCAGAGAAGTTAAGTGAGCACTCAATCAGACTTTGAAAACAGTCTTTATAAAAGCTACACAAAAGGATATGAACAGGCGTAGCCAGTACTGTACTACGTGCAAGTACACGTGAGTAGCATCTCTATATAGAAATTGAGCACATATGCCAATATAACGATGTATGATAAGCGTTTCCAGAAAAAACTGAATGTAGTGAGATTTGTGAATCCTGGACAGTACTAATACTAATAGGCAGCTTATAAACTTGATCATGACGTTTCAAAAACTTGTCACTTAGAAGCTACGATGTCGTATACAGTGTGTGAAAACGCAGGAACTAAAAGATAAATTCTTCTTAAAGGTAGTCTCATTTCATACTAGTGTCCGTTCAACCCCTTGGACGGAAGGGGATAAAACTGTTTCAACCTTCTACTTCAGTGCGAAAATTTTCGAGGACAGTCGACGCATTCCCAGACAAATCTAATCGCGGGGGTACCACTACCCAGCGACACAAATTTACATGGCATGATATTCAGGAGACTTCTAGCAATATTAATGTAACTAGTGAGGTTTACCTGAGGGAAGACACCAGTAGGTTGCCGGCCACCACTTCCATATAAAGAAACACACCAGCGTTTTTTGGCTCTGGGACCGAAGTACTCGGAAACAAACTTCCGCCAAAAAGTAATGTTATTATCCTGCAAGATATTGAAATAGTGAGACATGAGAACCTTCCCCAAAATAATGAGCCTAAACCTGCTGAGCTCAGGAGTCAGAATGGGATAACTGTGAGTGAAACATGTGAAGACAAACGAAACGTGAATCAAGATTACAAATTTGAAATTGAGACTCACTTGCGGTCGATGTCGCTGATGGTACATATAATTCATGAGGCGACGAGCACAGACGCTGGATTCAGCAGGCTGCTTGGAAGGACCTGCATTTTGCAAGATATTCGCATGCTGCTGCTGTTGCTGTTGCTGCTGTTGCTGTTGTTGCTGTTGCTGTTGCTGCTGTTGTTGTTGTTGTTGCTGCTGCTGCTGCTGCTGTTGTTGCTGCTGCTGCTGCAAATGCTGCTGTTGCTGCTGCTGTTGTTGCTGTTGCTGTTGCTGCTGTTGTTGCTGTTGCAATTGTTGTTGCTGCTGTTGTTGTTGCTGCTGTTGTTGCTGTTGCTGCATGTGTGGTCGTTGCAGGTGTGACTGCAGTAAATGTTGTTGTTGTTGCTGCTGCTGCATCAACCGCTGGTGCTGATACATGCTAAGCATTTGCTGGGACTGTTGTTGCTGCTGCTGACGCTGTTGTAACTGATAGACATCTTGCGATCTTTGCAGCTGGGGAGAGAGCAATGACTCGGGTCTTTGAAGGTGTTGGGCAACTTGATGTTGCAGGTCTTCTTCTTGTTTAACTTCCACCTTCGGAACGAGAAGCTGGTTGTGAGGATCAGTCTGAGCATCCAGAGTGACAGCGCTGAGACCCTGTGGCGACTGCATCTGCTGACCCGACCCAAGCCCTAGAGCCTGCAATTGCTGCCCACTACCAAGACCTGTACCGCCTAACACTTGATGATTTGGAAGCTGCTGTCCATTGCCCAATGTGTGGCCTTGTTGAGAGTTTTGCTGACCCTGAGACGATTCCTGCTGAGACGATGACTGTTGCTGCTGCTGGGGAGGAGTGGATGTCGCTTGTTGCTGCAATTGCTGGAGTTGGTGTTCCTGTTCAAGTCTATTCAGTGAGCTACCACCAACTTGCCGAACCAACGATGATCCACCAAGACCAGAAGAACCAGGTAGCCCGCTCAAATTACTGGAAGAAAATGACCGAGGGGAAGCCGGGACTCCTAGCGAACTTGATCCGGGTGAAGCTAGAGGGTCCGACCCCAACGCACTCCGCTGCAAATTGGAAGATGGGGATATGCCCGCGGCTCCAAGCCCACTCAGACCAGAGTTGCCTCCCACATTGAGTCCCGGATTGACTCCACCCACATTTCCCCCGGGATTCAAGGAACCTCGATTGTAATTTGCAATCATGTTGTTGATGTTGTTGTTGTAGGGACTGCGGGAAATACCAGAGAGCCCCGTCCCGACCTGCCCACCTAGACTCCTCTCCAGGAGAGGATTGCTAGATCGTAGCAGTGATGAATTTTGGGATTGGGCTCCGGCCACAGCAGGCGGTGGCGCCGGGGCTGGCGCCACCGCCCTGTGACTCGACTCCAAGTACTGATCCAGCGCCAGCCCTTTTCCTCCCCGAAAAGAGAGAAAAGAGAGCTAAGGCTCTCACTCCTTCCTGAAAAACACCTTATCCTGATACTCACACTTCGGATGTTCCTCGAAGTAGTCTTCTGTGGACTATCATGACTAAAATCATGAACAAACTTCGTTCACCCTTCTAGCCCGCCATTCTTACTTCAATAGAAAGGCCACATTTGTACGGGCCTCTCCCAAAGGAAATGTTTCCACGACTCTCACACCTTTGACTTCTCATACCTAGCCTGGACTATGCAACTGTGGGAAATTAATCTGCTTCTCTTCAGGAGAAAAGAACGGTCGATGCTTCACAAGGCACCAATTCGTTTCGGATGCGGAGAGGAAACTATTTCCCCCACACCGAGAACTGTATTGCGCAGAAACTTGCTCAAACCAGGTTCGAACGCGTCGAACACCTCTTCCCGTGTCTAACACGGTCAGCTCTACTGCATTTCTTGGCCTCTGACTTCGCCAACCGACAGGAGCCCTCCATAAGTTCCACTACGGCCCCTGCGTCGCGTACATGTACCGCGGTAGAGCCAAAAGTTTTCCACCAGCTAAATTTCACACCCTCCTGGTCAGAGGAGACACGCCTTCAATCCCAGATCACTCTGTACGAGCTCCAGCAAATCAGATAAGGCGAGTAGCTGCTTCTCCGAGAACTCCATCTCACTGCGCTCCGTGTCGAACTCATTGAGATTAACGACGAATACGACGGCATGAGGGCGAGACCTCGCAGGAGTCAGAACTGATGAGCACTTCGGCAAAGATTTCCCACGGGCACAACTCAGTATCGCGTTGACTGCTGGGTAGCGTCACAAAAAAGCTACTCCCGTTTTGTACTGCCTGCTGCACCGGCGCAGTGATACTCCTGCCTCTCCAACAGAGCCTCCGCATTGCTCGGTCCCTACCTACCTCAACGGGAGGTCATATCTTGGAAAATACAGGACGACAAAAGCTCACCCAGCGTTCAATCAATAAACATTCCGCTGGCCTACCGAGTCACCGATACCGAACGACGCCTTCGGCTGCTTCGAGGAGGCTCGTACCTTCCCCGGGGCCGGTCCTGCGACACCTTTCCGCAACAGGGCGGGGTCGTCTTCGGGAGCTGAACATGGGCCGAAGGGGAGACGGAAAAGCTGAAGGACCACGAGAACAGAGCGCACTACAGCTCTCTCTCTCTCTCGGCTAATTTCAGCCCCTTCTTTCGACGGCGGAGAAACGACGCCCGCCTGCGATCGAACCAATCTAGAACCGCAACATTCAGCGAGCTGCTCCAAGCGCTCGAGCTCCGGCCTCTTCACTCCACCAGGGACGCCTTCCCCGATGCATTCATTCCTGCTGCTCAGTGGCGACTCCTCTCAAACCTTCACACTAATTGCGTAACCTAGCCCCTTCTCTGTCACGCACTGTACATCCCGAAACGCGTAGCAGAGCGTCACCGCTCGACGAAGCCCAGCGACCACCACCGACGTCGACGACAACAACGACGACGACACTCAACGACGAAGGTCTCCTCGCAGAAGTCACAATCCCTCGCTTCTCGCTCTCGTTCTCGTTTCTCTCCTCGCGTCGCGCAGCTCCTTCCTCCTCGACAAAATCTCGCGGTCGACCCACAGCGCGCATCAACAAGCAAGACGTCCCGGTGCGCCTCCACAGCGCCCTCCTCTCAGAAGCGAGCGAGATTCGATTCCCGAGTTGTATCAGAGGATTGATCCGCCAGCAGCAGCAGCAGCAGCAGAAACGATGCCCCGCACGAGAAAGCTCGCTCGAGCACTCGCCTCCCTAGCCCTCCAGCAGCAGCTGCTGAGCTGAGCTGAGCGCACCCGAGCTGTGCCGAGCCGGAGGGCGCGTCGGAGAGCGTCGGAGAGCGCCGGACCAGAAGCTGCTGCTGTCCGCGCGTTTTCATCGCGGTAATAGTCCGAGAGTTACCGCGGCGCGCCCCCGGGCACGAACAGAGTCAAACCCCGGGTCTCGAATCACGCATGGCCACTTGGGATGCGCGAATTACCCAAATCTCAGCTCGGTCCTTGCAAAAACTCCCTCTGCGACCGACAACGACGGGCAGTCGCCGGTCCGGCGTCCACCGGGGACTTCGTCAGTAGAAGAAAAAACCATCGCAGCGATGCCCGGTTCCCATGCTCCGGTAACAACAACCAGCTTCGCGGCGCGCGGTGTGTCGTCCTGCGCTTGACATCTCGACTCTTCGCAACCTGGGATCGGATTCGAACGTTGGTCGACAGCTCCGGCACCCGCCCGGGTTCGTCCTCGCGGCCCGGTGGTCGACCGTCTGGATGGCGGTGAGTTCATGTGCCAATCAACGAACCGCTGCGACTCCCCTCCGCACTTCAGGAGGGTCGCTCAATGATTCGCGGACAGTCAACCTCGGTCAGACTCCGAGTCATCTCCCGAGTTACCCAACCGCCCCAGCCCCCCCCATGATTCGCCCCTTCGTGATAGTCACCCTTCCTCGGCTCTTCCTCGCCTCGTCGTGACTACGACCGAAGCTCCGACCGGCAGAACCCGGTGGCTTCCACTTGCTGTCCCTCCATCCTTCCTACATCACAGGGACAGGTATACTGTACTGCAGTAAGTACTGCGGGATAATCCCCTGAAATATCGGCGACCACGCGACGACCGAACGATACACTTCCGACTGACTCCACTGAACAGGTGATTTATCTTCGTCCTTCCACTTACCGACTTACTTGTAGCGACCTACGTGGACATACCCAATTATGACTTTTCTTTTCGCTACGGTTTGTAGCCCGCGACGGCCCGCGACCCCTTGGTCCATGTACGGAAGGGAGTCCGAGGAGGGATGTTATGTCTCCACGTAGTGGACGGAGGGAAATCGCTTCGTGTACGGAGGGTCATGATTTGCCACTCCGGGTAACGGAGGCGCAATTTCACCCCAAATCAGCCCCGAACAACTGGATATGGTGTTCGAGCACTACAGCCGATTCCAGTCGTGTATGTACGTATATATTATCGTATGAATGTATGCGGGTGGGCTACTCTTCGAGTAGATGTAGAGCCACCACTGCTGCTGCTGCTGGGTTCAGAACTCCAGATACTTGCAGTACTTACTGTTTTAGTTCACATACGTTCAAGGATGTCAACAAGCTCTACAGTGTGAAAGACTGCTTTCTTTTTTGTTTTTTCTTTTCTCCTCTTGTATTTATTTAAATAAATGTTTCAAACGATTGGCAGACCATATAACCCTAGCATGGATGAAACCAAAATGTTGACAATTTTCTATGCTCCAATGTTATCACAATACGACCTATGTCATCTTGTCCATCATTTAGGTCAAACAGTGTATATATCACATAAATGTCAAGAGAATCATATATTAACATAACTGTTACGTAAGAATTTCCATATAGTAAAATTTATACATGTTAACTGAATTTTTTCATACAAAACAGGGAGAATGATAGCTGATGTCATTTTGAATTCAACAGATCTTAAAAAACATCTAAACATCCTTGTCCATATCTAAATATTATGTTCCAGCTGATGAACAAAGAGTTAAACTCTTATCATTCACTACTTTTACAAATGTTCAATATGAAAGATTTGATTATTATGTTTCAAATTAAACTCTGCATCTACAATGATATCATTGTTAGTTATAATTATCTTTTGAATAACAAAAAGTCTTACGTAATCATCTTCCGTCTAATATAATAAATCAGTCACAGATTGATAATGAATTTGATTTCAAATTAATCAATCAATTCAAAATATCAATAAAATAAATTAGATTGTTGAAAAAAATTCGTGGATAAAAGAATCAAATCCCATTGATATGATATAAAAATCTACTTGGTTATAACCTTAGCATAGGATCAGACCCGGACAACGCCGTTGGCATTAGACGTGACGTTAGCATTTGTAGAGTTGTTGAGAGGCATAGTGGTCAAGGTAGTTGTGTTTGAATTAAATCTTCAAAGGGTTCAGTTTGTTAATTGAGACTTGTATATGATGTCATTGTAAAAATTAGCTAGCGTAGGAACATGAAGTCTTTGAAACACAAGATAAATGTTGTTCCAACACAATCTAATCTTTTCTGCGATGGATGATGATTGTCATGGCTCGATAGAAGTTTTGAGAACAGAAAAGTTCACCTTGAAGTTGTGTTACACTTGCGTTGGTGTATGACATATTTTGTATTGTGATGTTCATATGACATCCATCGATGTTATGATGCGATATATATGTGCACAATGATATATTTATGAGCTTGTTCATTAAAATCTAGAGAATATAAACAAGATTGAAGAATGACTAAATCAGGTTGGAATGAAAACATAGATTGCCGACTATGATACCGGTAAAGAACATTATAATAATTTTGTGCTGCTTGCTGACTAGATTGTAGCACTTTCACCTAAATGATGAGTAGAAGTATTACTGTCATTTATTTTTTAGTTTATTTGGCTCAAATTAGATTATATTAATTTAATTTGAATTACAATTTTTTCTTTCAATTGTGTTGTAAATAAAATTTGTAAACATATAGTTTTATAAATCCAATATATTTACATATATTAAGATTAAAACAAAGCATGACATATTTTTTTTATTGATTATATATAAAAAATTTAATATTTTTTTCTGAAGTTTGAAATCACTATGAAGTTCACAATTTTATTAAATATTGCAGTTTTATGTTCAAAACATTTTGACTAACATAATTTATGAGATAGTCGTTAAGAAGAACATACGAGCATACGAACCTTATAGATATCTATAAATTTGAAGTGTTCAAAGTTGTATTTTAGACTCATCTGAGGTTTTTTTCTTCGAAATGCTTCAATGTTGTACACATAGGAAAAGGTTTGCAAAAAGTAAACAGAACAACATTATTCCTTCTTTATATGTCTATAGGTTCTATGTAATTTATCCTCCTAAATTCGCAAAGTTCCAAAAGAATGACAACGGTGTATATGCATGTTGTGACACACAACTTCATCAACTTTTGAACCAAATGATCAAGGCAGCGGAGGGAGGTCCACCTATGAAATTCCCACATGGAAGACGAATGATCATGACTGATGGCATAGAGGCAGATGTACAAACGAGACTAGACGAGCGGAGATCAAATCAGCGAAAATCATTCCACGGATATGGAGAAACTGGAAACTTGCAAGTGAGGTATATATGCAGTTTTAGACATTCGTTACTTTCCAAAGTAAGACAACGAGGAATTGAGACAGAATGCACGGGGACGCAGAATCTCGAGAAAATATCGTAAAGAATGACGATCAAGGCCGTGGGAGGGACGGAGGAGTTCGTTGAGGGAACCTGCACTAATGCTTATCTACCATCAAACTGACAAGACACGGACAAACCAGAGGCGATGGCCACACAAGTATCTGTTGGACATATCTGCTGGGACCGGACGAACTATCCAGAAGACAAACGCGGGCGCCCTCCCTGGAGATCCGGGAGCTCCCGAAGTTATGCTCTCCGAAGCTCATCTCACCGTCGATAGTAGCCGAGTCATATGGTTCGGATGCCTCGGGACCGTCCGTTCCCGAAAAGCACCGCGCACATGGGTAGTAATCGGAACCTCCGGACAAAGATTGTAATCGGGTCATGGATTTCATCCGACTGTATGATAGTGACCGTCGATTGTGGAAAAGACGGATGCCAGTAACGTTAGATGTAGGAGTACAATAAATACAAAATTATACATGGACATGAATGTCGTAGTCATCCGATTGATTGGATGAAATACGCATGCATATGTCAGGCTCCATCCGATCGATGGATGATGGATGCCAACAACTCTCGCTTTATCATATGTCATCTTTCTCCTATGGAGCCATCCTTTATATTATTATTTTTTAAATTTCTTCCTTCCCTTATGTCGAGAGCTGGAACCCGTGTTCTTTCTTCATTAGTGTGCGTTGAGGACGTTCTTTCCATCCAACATGTGACATCGATATACGTAAAATAGAAGGCCCAGTTGTTCCCAGAAAAATTACCCTCACATTAATTGATTGCATTAGACCTATATTTCTTCGACAATTGAAGCCACTGTCGTAGCTTGTAATGAATACCCGTGGCACACTTTTTGGGGATGCCCAAGTGTTGTATGATCCTCAACATGACCAAATCCACTCATTCAGCAAAGAGAGATGGACTTTCAAGTTGTAATTTACCTTGGCCACTTTGTTGACAGCAGATCAATGACAGCTGTTGGAATGGGAGGGTGGACGAGTCTTTGGCCATATACCCCTGAAAGAAAAAAAAGGGTGTTGAAGTTGAAAGAAAATTCGGATTCATCATCGAGGTTGTGGAACTTGGTCATATTGACTTCGCAATCAAACCCATGAGCAGTAGTAGCTCCAGGTATTGTAGATAGTAGACGAGATTATGGTGTCACCAAAATGGAGAGATAACGATGATCATATCTCGTACGGGCAACGCAATACTAAACTCTTGTGCACATCGACATGACGCCGGCCGCGGCTACTCCCTTGGCGCCACAGCCTAAGGGTTAATTATTACTATAATAATCTTAGAATAATATGTATGAAAGTGAACAAAATGTGAAACTCATGCGGAAATTTATCATATATGGTAAATAAACGCCCACCACTTGACCGCCCAGCATCGAAATTCCTTATCTTATTCGAGGGACGTGTATTTTAGAAGTAAAGGAGGTGGAAACCCCATAATATTGTATGCGTATGAGAATGTTCAAAAGGCGTGGAGGAGAAGAACCTGCTCGGGGGTGATGGACGCAATGGGATTTATAGCGTGTCTATAAATG